TTTGTGTTGTATGCAGCGGTACCTGTGGCCAGGTGTGGGGCAGCCTGTGAGTGCAACTTCATTTGCAGCTACCAAAAATGGGGAAAAGTTGTATCAGGCATTTTGGCAGACCCAAGACAAGCCCCTTCTCCTCATTAAGTCTCCATTTCCCTTTCTACTAATGTGGGATTGGGGCCCCTAGAAGGAGGGGGAGGCAGAAGCCAATGAAACCACAGCACCTGATGGGCAGGTTGAAATCTAAGTGGTGGTGGGGGCGGTGCAGGCAATGGGTCTGGCCAAGTAAGGGGGAAAGTGGACCCAGAAGCACTGCCCCAGCCTGGGCTACCAGCGCAGGAAGTGCCTCTTTAGTTCCCTTTGGCCTCCGAAACCCAATCCTTTGCTGCCCTAAGGAGCCCCGTGTCCAGAAGACTCCCCGACAGTCACCTCAGCCGCTAGGACGCCCGCCCGGCTCAGCGCCTAAGGTTTACAGCGCGCTCTGCAGCACCGAGTCCTCGCGCCTCCTTTTTCCTCTGAGAGGGCAGGATCGTTGATCCTTTTTGCAGCACTGGAAACACAGGCCTGGAGAGACGGCCCTCAAAGGACCCGGGCGAAGGAATAAGACTGTGATATGAACTCAAGTCTCAGGACTCGCGACATCGATAGTAACAAAGCTGCGAGACGAACACCTAGCGACGCCCCGGCTCCAGACAGATCACGCCGGACTTCCCGCTGGCGAATTGAGGTTCCTCGCCCGGCTGCTGCGAGGATTCGAGGTGGGTCTAACCCGGCGCCACAGGCACGCAGGAGGCACCCAGCAGGCACGCTTAGCAAACAGCAGCTGTAGGGAGCATGTCCCCCCTTTGTAACTCAACAGGGTGCGAAGTTCTCTGGAGCGGCGGGCGCGGGCGCAGCGGGTCAGTGGCGTCCGCAGGGTCCCCGCCCCCGCCCCCCGCATGCGGCCTGAGCCACCCGGTGGGGTTTCGGCGCGCTGACGTGGGCGGATCAAAGGGCTGCCCGCGCCTTATAAAGCAGTTTGGGCGGCCCGCGCAGCAGATCGCGCCGAGCGAGGGGTAGAGCTCCGGCGAGCCGGCGAGCGCAGGCCCCGGGAGCTGAGCGCAGCCGAGAGCAGCCAGAGTCCGCGCCAGAGTCCGCGCCGGACCGGAGCCGGCCGCCAGGATCCCCGGCGTTCTTGCTGCGCCGCTTCACGAAGAGGGCGCCCTCGCCGCTCGTCCAGCCGGAGTGCGCTCGGCCGCGGCGGAACCGCGCTCGCCGCTCGCTGGGCCGGCCGGGGCAGCGGGGCACGCAGGGCGCGCGGGCGAGCGCCCCGAGAGGTGAGCAGTGGTGGTGGGCAGCGAGCAGAAGCTCAGCGGGGACCCGCCAGGGCGGGGGGCGCCCGAGTCCAAGGAGGACGGCGCTTCTCGCACCCGCCGCGACCCCCTCGGGCACCCACTCCCGGGTAAGCAAACCAAGCCCTCCTCCATACCTCTCTCTCCTCCGCAGCACTCCAAGGAATGCCCCCTGCGGAGCGCAGCCGCAGGGGCCGGAGGGACACCGGCTTTAGGGGCATTCGGGCTTTAGGGAGACGCGGGGTGGGGTGGGCTGTGCAGTTCCTGCAGCCCTCCCTGTCCCCACTCCGCAGTAGACCCCCTCCCGCCCGGTCGGCCCGTGGATGAGGTCATGCCCGAGCCATCCCGGGGGTGGGGGACTTGGATCCCGCGACAGAGGGTGTGTGTGTGGTGGGGCGGGAGAGGGTGGCAAAAGGCAGAGAAATTCGGCAGCTTCTACCAAATTGGGAGGCGAGGGGCGGACGCCCTGCTTTGAGAACAGCTCCCCAAGGCGGCAGGGGAAGGGGGAGAACCGAGTTTGTTTACAGACCTGAGCTCCAGACTGGGGGGTGGGGAGGAGAGGAGTCTTGTCCCCGGCCCCGCGGCACATCTGGAACCGCCCTGAACATCTGGCTGAGCTCGCCCGCGAGCCCCACGCCTCCCAACCCCAACCCTGAGGCGCCTCCGTGTCCCTCACGGTCCTTGGGCGCGCGGAGTCGGGCTCCAGGGGGATAGCGGGAGAGATCCGAGTTCCCCCACCTACCCTTCCCACTTCCAAAACAACTGGTCTCCCGGGTGACCTGGCGCAGCGTCCGCAGCCGAGCAGACGCATCTCGAAAGACTCGTGGCTGAGGTCAAAGCCGGGTTGCGGGCCCGGCCTCGCTCCGCCTCACAGGTAACCTTGAAGCAGTCGCTCGGCGTCCGCGGCTCGCGAGGTCCTCTCTGAGAGCGGCGCTGCAAGAGGCTTCGGGACCGGCCGGCGCCGACCTGACGCGCGACGTGGACGCTCTGCCCCGGCGCGCGGTGCCCACTCCCGGCCCAGCACTGGAGCGTCGGGGTAGGGGAGCCTTGCAAGTCCCCGCCGGCTTGGCTCAGAGGGGAGGCCGCCGCAAAGGCGAGGCTTCCAGAGACCTCCACAGCCCAAACCTTATGACCACCTGTTGGCGGCGCAGGGCTGCTGCGCTCGCGGCGCCCCGAGTGTGCACAGCCCGGGGCGGCCCCCTGCCCCGGCCCACTCCAGGCGGGGTGGCTCGGACCTACTTCCCAGCTGGGGGAGGAAGGGACCCTATCTCTCCAAAGACACTGCGCTTTGACGAGGGCCCACTACGCGCCCGCTCCCAGGGGAGGCTCCGCGCCGGGCCTGAAGCAAGGGGTCGAGCAGTTCAGGACTGACCACGGCAACTGGACGTCCTGTAGAACGACCGGGACAGAGAGGGCACTCTGCACCTCAGCCCAACTGCAGACGGGAACAGCGATTCGGGACACGGCGCGGAGGCTGCCGCAGATCGCAACTCGAACCCCGGCCTAGCGCCCCCTGGCGGGCCGGGGACTCGGGGAGGCGAGGGCGCCCTGACCCGTGCGGCGCAGGCTGAGGGTGACCCAGCGGCCCGCGCGGCTGTCCCGGACGCTCTTACACAGGGCAGGAATAATCTGTCAGGACCCAGAGGCTCAGGCCAGGCGCTGCCTCCCCCAGCGACGAGCTGGCGCGGCGGAGGGAGAAGACTGTGTCCACTGGGACTGCTCCGAAAGAGTCCCGAGTAGCTGGGGCCTGGGTGCCGGTCCGCTGGGTGACCAGGACGTCCCCTCCCCTCCCTGGGAAAGTTGGGCTGGACACGGATCCCCCAGTGTGAGTCCGCGCGCCTCCTTCCTGGTGCAGCCCCTGTACCCTCCCCACGCAGGAATGCTGGGTGCCTTGGGGAGCCCACACTTTGCGGGGGGGGGGGGGCTAAGACAGTTACTAGAGTTTTGATCCTTCCCCCACTCCACCATATCGATCGGATATTTTTCTTGTTCTGAGAAGTGCAGTAAACTTCAGGAGCAGTAAGACAAAGGGTTTGGATACAGGCTAGTGGAAGGAGGGGACTCAGTTACACCGAGAACCCCGCTGAGACCCCCCAGCCTAGACTTGGCACGTTTGTCGCAGGCACCCCAAGTGCTGGGCGCCGAGCGGGGGGACTCTGTGGAGCAGGAAAAAAATGCAATTCAGGATTTTTCTCTGTGCCTTCCTCTGAGTTATGCCAGAAGCCTCCAAAAAACAGTGGGGTTTCCAGGGTGTGTGTTGAGGCACACACGTACGAGCGCATACTACACAGGTATACGTAATAGTGGAAACCTAGGCAGAGCCAGCTCAAGGACCCGCAGACTACCCGGAGGCTGGAAAGACCGCAAGGATGCATGAAGTCCAGCCCCTTGTTTTTACAGAAGGGGAAACTGAGGCTGGGGATGGTTGAAGCCTTGCCCAAGCTCACAGGGCCAGAGGAGGACGCCCTTTTCCGGCTCCAGCGCCCCCCACTATGGTGGCGCCTCCTTTTTCCAACTCCCCAAACCCTTTAGAAAGGAATCCCTTTGTCTGTGCTGCTCCCGAGGGGAGAGGGGCTGGGGCTGTGTGTGACTCCGCGCGAACGCCAGGTGTTGGTAAATTTGGGAGAAGCTGGGAAGGGAGTTAATGAGGTGAGAATGAAGAGAAAAAAGAAAAAAAAAAGCCCGAGAAAGCAGCTCTGCGGGCTGCCGCCGGGCGGGGTAGCGGCTCCTCCGCGGCCCGAGTGCGCCTCCTGGCGGCGGGAGGCAGCACGGCGCCAGCCCCGTGAGCTGAACTGGCCTGCTTCGCCCAGGCCCCGCTGCCCCGCCCCGGCTCTGCCTGCACCCCGGCGCTCCAAAATGGGGCGGCTAAAGAGGGCCTCTCACTGCACAAAGAGACCTGCCATCCCATGTCTTATCCTCCCCTTCCAAGACCGAGAAACCTATGCCCAGAGCAAGCCCCATTTCCTGTCTTCTCAGGGGGTTTGACCTCAACAGACATGAGAGTAGAAAACCCGGCATGGACCTGCTGCTACCTAGCTGACCACCCCACTTCACATCTCTGGGCCTCAGTTTTCTCATCTGTGAGATGGGGCAGTGATCGTACCCATCTCACAGGGTTGCTGGGGGGAGCAAATGCGATCATGTTACGTGAACATTCTTTATAAAAGGTGAATTATGCCCGAATCACCCCAGTTTACAGAGGAGGTAAACTGAGGCGCAGTGGGGGGAGGGAGAATTGCCAAGGCCATAATAACTAATAATATTGTGGGCATAAGAACCCAGCGCCTGAGCCCGGAATCTGCCGCCTGCGTCCGGACTCCTCATTCCTCTTCTTTCCGTCACTCTGTCCTCCGCCTCAGTGGCTTTCAGCCTTGTCCTTTGGGCATGTCTCTCCCTCTCACTGTCTCTCTGTCCTGTCTCTTCTAATGTCTCTGGTCTCTGTCGCCTCCTGCCCTTCCTTCCGGCTGCCCAGGTCCCAGCCTGAGTGGCGCAAGGGCGCGGCCGGGCCGGGGGACCGCGCTAGGTGGACAAGCCCTCTGCCGCGCTCCGGCCACACGTAACTCGAACCCCGGGCCGGGTGGGAGAGGACGCCCGCCTCGCGCTCTGCCTCCTCGGGCCGACCCCTCCTTTGTAATTTGAATAAAACGCCTCCCCCGCCCCGCGCGCAGCCTTAACCCGCCGCCTCCGCTCTCCCCGACTGCAGGCGGCGTGCGCGCAGGACGAGCGGCGGTGGCGCTGCAGGCGGCTGGACTCGGCGCGGCTCCTCCTGGGCGCGACCCCTGAGCGCGCCCGCCGCGCGACGATGAGGGCGCGGCCGCAGGTCTGCGAGGCGCTGCTCTTCGCCCTGGCTCTCCAGACCGGCGTGTGCTATGGCATCAAGTGGCTGTAAGTAGGGACCCTGAGTCCACGCCGACGGGGACGGGCGGCGGGGGCGGCGGAGGGCGTGAAGGGGTCCCCTGGATAGGGCGAGCGCGCCAAGACCCAGGAGCCCAAGTTGGCTTGGCAATCATGGGCAAATCATTCTTCTCAAGACCGCATCCCCCCCCGCCCCGCTGTAAAATGTCTTTACCTCCCCCGGGCTTGCAAAGAGGAAGAGAGACAGGGCGTGGGGGGCGATGGACTTGCCCGGTCCTGAGCTGGCGGTTGCGCAAAGGCCGCTGAGTTGCGGGAGACCTCCGCGGGGGCAGATGGAAACAGACCTCTTGCCAGGGGGCCTGGCACAGGGGCGGCTCAAGATTGTCAGTCTCCTTGACCCTAGCTGGAGGTCCACAAAGACAGTCCTGACCCCTCCACCTGGGTGACCTTGGGGAAGTGTCACTCTACCTTTTGGCGCCTCAGCGTCCTCTGTCACAGAGGGTGACTCTCCAGCGCGCTCAGGTCAGATGAGAAGAGGCCATGAAAGGAGCCTCCTGAGCTGTCAGATGCTGTGCTCATGTGCAGGGCGTTCCTGTAGACAGAAATTATTAATGGCGAGGTAGGTGGGAGAGAGAGGCCGCCTTGCCCAGCAAAAGGGGGTGCCTACTCTGTGCCGGCTGTGGGCAGGCGGGGAGAGGAGGAAAAGCCAGCCCCTTCCCGGAGGAGCTGCCCTCTGGGCTGGGAGAGATAAGCCCAGGCCGTAAATAACTCCACAAGTGTCCAGTGCCCCAGGAGAGACCAGTGCTGTGTTACAGGGGCCCAGAGGACGGCAGACCACCTGGTGGGGGGGGCACAGACTTGGGACACTGGGGAACTTTTTCAGGGGCAGTGGCCTTAAGGACTGAAGAGCTGTGGGGAGTTTGGCTGGTGGGGGCAGTGGGGAGGAGAGCATTTGGGTGGAGGGGACTCCATGAGCAAAGGCCCAGATATGGGTGGAAAAGTCCAGGACAGGACACAGGTCTGGAGTTTGGGGTGGGGGCAGGGAGCCATGCAGATAAGACAGCAGGGGACAGATTATAGAGGCTGGGGAGGGGCCCTGAGGAGAGTTTGTGGATTAGCTAGAAGACAAAGCGATAGTGGCTGGGCTGCCAACAAACAGTCTGGAGGTCACTGGCCCTGCCCCTTCTGGGGCTGAGTTATAGATTAATTGATGATTCTAGAGAGGAACCCCATCTTCCTGCATTTCTTGTTTGCAAGGAGAAGCCTGGGCTCAGTGGTTGCCCAGCCCTGGGGCCCCAGCTCCTCCCAGCTGTCTTTGATGAGTTTTATGAGAAAGAAACCACCTTCCTTCTGCTGCTGGGTACCCGGCACTGTCCCAGCTGGCAGGGACCTCTGATCAGTGAGTCCAAGCCCCTCATCCACCACAGATAAGAAAACTAAGGTGCAGAGAAGGAGAGGATTTGCTGGGGGGCACAAGGAGCATCAGAGGCCGAGAACTAGGCTCGGTGACATTTGCTGCTCATAAGAGCATTGTGGGGGACACAGCTATCATCCCTGCTCTACAGTGGCAATACTGAGGCTCTGAGAAGGGCATGATGCACACAATCCCCCAGGCTGGCATGTGGTGGGGTGGATGGCTCAGCCCAGCATCCATGTCCTCTATCCCCACTGCAGAGCCCAGGCCACGACAGAAATGGGCATGACCCAGCATCTGCCTTAAAGAAGCTCCCAGGCTCCTGGGGGAGACGGACACATAGAAAATACAAAGTGGACCGTGGTCCCTGTCCTCGGAGAGGGAGCATGGGAGTCCAGAGGAGGAGCGGTCAGTGCCACCTAAGGGAGGCATGTGGGCTGGGCTTGGAAGGACAGGTGGGATTTTACTGGGCAGAGGTGCAATGCAGAGTGGGCATCCTAGGCAGGACAGTGCATGTGGACACACTCAGAGACACCAGGACAGCAAGAGCCTCCTCCCAAATTTCCCAACACTGCTCTCAGAGCTTTGGTCCTTTAATTTTGATAATACCGTACTCCTTTGAGAGAAGTGATAGTCTTATCCCTGCCATTTTACGAATGAGGAAAATGAAGTATGGAGAGGCTAAGCAGCTTCCCCAAGGTCACACAGCTAGTTAATGGTGGCTGTAGGATCAGATCCCAGGCAGACAGGCTCCATGAGGCCAAACCTCTGGATAATGGTTAAACTCTTGCTGGGGCTTAAGACAGACTGGGAAGTGGGAGAAGGGGTGGAGTTTAAGAATAACAATGCTATGTGCGTGTGTGTGTGTGTGTGTGTGTGTGTGTGTGTGTGTGTGTGTACGTATGTGTATATATAGACACACCATATGAGCAGGTCATGTGTACCTTGCTACATGCTAGGCACTGTTGTCAGTGCTCTTTGTATATGGTTTCATTTAAATCTTCCAACCACCCTGTGAGGTGGCTTCTGCCATTCCCCCATACTCAGAAGAGGAAACGGAGGCGGGGGGATTCTTTATCTAGCAGGGTGTCACAGCTAGCATGTAGTAGAGGCAGGATTTGAATTGGGCTATCTGGCTCTGTGGCCTGTGGTGCACTGGGTGCACTGCCAGGGAGCCATAGGACAGTTGGGGACAGGGAAGTGTACAGAGGGGTGGGAGGCGGGGGCTCATCCAGGAGGCTCAGCTGTCCTGGGGTTGTCCCAGGGGCCCATGCTGTCCTGGGCCTTTGAAAAGTGACCTGGAGATGAAAGGGGCATTTGACACAGGAATGAAACCAGATGTGGCTGAGGGACCTGGAATGCCCACCAGGTGGGTGCCTGTAGCTCAGGCTGAGCCAGTGGGGTGGAGGCCAGGGGAGTGGAGTCAGAGCCTGGCTGTCCATGGAAGCACCTGCCCAGAAATAACCGGGAGACCCTTCCCCTACCTTGCCTCCACCCCAACCAGGTACTGGGAGACTCCCAACCCAGCAAGTGTTGGGGGAACCCAGGTCTGGGCCATCCACCTCCTTCCTGGCTGCCCCCGGTAGGGAAGGGACTAAGGGTGGCACCAGCCTGCTATGAAGCACGGGGGTTCCGGGTGAGAAGAAAGGCCCAGGCTGGCTGGGAGGGCCCATGAGGCCACCCCCCTCCCTGGGCAGCCAAGCCTGCTGCTCACCATAGGTGGGGCCTCTCAAGGAAGAGTCCCGAGAGAGTCTAGAAGGGACACAGATGCTGCCAAGTGGGGCAGAAGGAGCACCGGACTGGGAGTCTGAGTCCCAGCCTGAGCGCTGCCAGTTCATGAGCCATGGGCCAAGCCTCAGGCTGATCCATCACTTTAGCCTCTCTGAGCCTCAGTTTCCTCAGCTCCAAAATGCGGGTGGAAGTAGCCCTAGCCTGGGATCTGGGCTCTAGTTCAGCTCCGCCTCTGGTTGGCTGTGTATAGATCTGGGCAAACCCTGCCCTTCTGGGCCTCAGTTTCCCCACTTGCACGGTGAGAGTAGGTGATGCTGTAGAAGCTGCCCTTCTGCTTTTTGACTTACAAGTGTCAGACGAGGCCGGTCGGGCTTTACCTTGTAGGCTGGTATGGGGGGCGGTGGGGCCAGGTGGGCAGGCTTCCATCTCTGAGGTCCGGGCAGTCTTGGGTGTGAAGGGGACCTGGTGTCACTTCTAGGTAGGCCTTTCACTAGCCTCAGTTTCCCCATCTATGGGGCAAGGGAACCTGGTGGTCCCTCTTGTCTCTGGAGTCCTGGGACAAAGCCTAGGAGGGAACAGGAGGCCTCTCAGACCGTAGGACCCCAGGGGTTCCCTTCCTGGGCTGGCAGTTGCAGCCCCCAGCCTGGGGTGGCCGGTGAGGAAGGGGACGTTCTGAGGGGACCTGGTTCCTAGACCTGGGGCCTGATTGAGGAGTCATGACTTATCATGGAGGACTGTTCCCCACGGCTGCTGCAGGGGGGTGGATGGAAACCCAGAGAGAGGCTGAGCTTGCCTGGGTGGCCTAGAGGCCAGGTTCCTGCTCCATCCTCCCTGTCACGTGGGCACCAGGATGTTGTGGGGCCCAGGAGAGCCCAAAAAGACATGGGCAGGGGCGGGGCAAAAGTCTGACTTGGGAAATAGGGTCCCTTCAAACTCAATTGGTCTCCCACCCTAGAGTCCGCAGGGTCCAGAGAGGCAGCACTACAGGGCTTCCCAGGGCAAGCCTTGAGAGCCCCTGTGCTGGCCTCCAGCCCTGACCAGGGTCCTTTCCACCCTGGAAGTGTAGCTATGGATGTGAGATCTACCCACCACCGACTTTTGACCTTACCCCATCTGTCCCCTGGTGTAAGGGTGCAGTGCCAGGCTATATCCTGGGCAGTGCTAGTGCAGGGGACCTTCTGAGCCCAGCTCTGCCAGACTCACCCGGTACCGAGAGGGCTGGTAGCACCACTCAGTGCCATGAGCAGCCGGGCTGCAGAACTGCAGAGCCAGACCTGGGGCCCTGGTCATGTGAAGGAACCCAAGCCTGGCTGCTGGGTCCCGGCCTGGAATTCGTCATATGCCTGACCCCATGCCTAAAGGCAGGGGGATGCTGGGAAGCGCAGGTCCAGGACGAAGGCCCTTCTTGAAAAGGGGCCTTACCTGGGCCAGGTACCCTGAGCTGCCCGAGGGTAGGGCCACCTGGCAACACTAGGAAAACACCTCAGTGATACACTGGGCAGGGAAGGCAGGGAGGAGGCTCTTTAGTGCACCAGGCAGGAGATGACGGAGGCCCTGCCCGGAGGCATTAGGCGGGGAGGACCGACCACCCAGGCGTGAAGATGGCCAGGTGCAGAATAAAGTGCGAGGGAGGACTGTGGCTCCAGCGATGGGAAGGTGAAGTCATTTGTCAGCTTGTGTTACCTTAAAATGTCCACACCATTGGAACCTACATTGGTTATGGACATTGAAAGAATGGATGGGGAAACTGAGGCAGGGCAAGGGGCAGTGATCTGCCCAAGGTCATGCAGTGAGGGAACAGCTGAGCCAGAGCTTGAACCCAGGTCTCTGTCCCAGCCTGCCCCAGGAGAGCCCCCGGCTCCTGAGTGAGAGAGAAGTCTCGCCGCCCCCAGAGCCCTGGGCACGGGCCTTGCCTGTGAACTCTGTGTTCCCTCCTGTCCTTTCCTCCACCCTCTCCCCCAGCCCCCACCCCAGATAAACTGAAATGTTTCCAATTAGGGGTCTGCTGGAGTGAGGCAAGCTGAGATGTCCACACGGGTAATTCCCCCGCCTCCCGCCCTAATCCTTGATTACCTCCCCAAGGGGGATTTAGTTAGAAACGGTCATTACCACTAATTACCAGATGACCGCATGGCCCTCCTCGGGAGTGGAATCTGCTGCCTCCCACCTCCCCAGCGCCGGGGCTGGCTGCTCCCATGGGCCCCAGCCCCTCTGCCTCCGGGGCGGTCCCTGGGCTCTGCCCTGCCCTGCTCCCACCAGGGGCCTCCGAAACAGCTTCCTACTTATCCGCTGGCCGCCCAGGGAGTCGGAGCCTCATCTGGGAGCTGCCTTTACAGCACCTTCTCTCAGCCATCTGGGGAGGCTGGCTCAGGGGTGGCCCACGGTCCCAGCCAGTGAGACCCCTGGCACCAGGAGCACAGAGCTCCCCTCCCTGAGAGCTACGGCACCCAGCACTCAGGGACTGCCTGACCTGAGCCCTCGGTGGGAGGCTCGGCCCACCCCATCCCCTTCTTGGCTTGAGCAGGAGCCTGGGGGAGACAGGGAGGCAGCCCACGCGGCTTGGACACCACTGCGCCTGCGCCGGCCTGATGTTTGATTTGCTGTCGTTCATGTAACCCTTCCCACTTTCAAATGCTCAGAGGGGAAGGGAAGAAAGTTGGGAGGGTGAAGAGCAGAGAGGGCTCAGGACAGGCTGAGTGGACTTCCCAGAACAGAGCAGACAGGGGACCGAGAATGGGGAGGCCACGGCTCATGCAGGGACTGACAGCCCAGCAGGGAGGAGGACTTGACTTGCAGGGGGATGCAGGGAGTACAGCCCCTGGCCCTGCCTCCACATCCTCACTGGTCCAAAGCGGGGATAATAATCTCGTCTAGACCGCCCTCCGCAGCGTGAAATGAGAGGCTCTGTAAACTGGGAAGTGCTGTGTCCACACCGGGGCTGTTACCTTGCAACAGCACCACACACGTGAGCAGTGTTTGCTGGCTGGGGGTGGAGGGCTGTTAACAGCCAAGAAACATGCCGAGGTGATGACACTTGCCTTTGTGTGGTCAAAGCCCACCCAGGAAGGGCTGCAGGGAATCGGGCAACAGGTTCCTAGGAGGGAAGGCCAGGGAGGCCCAGACCAGTTCCATGTGGGTCAGGGACCACGTCTGAGGTCTGCTGTGTGGCGTGCCCCGGGCCGGGCCCTGGCATCCAGACACGCCAAACCTTTCCCTGCTCATAGTTTGGGGAGGGGGGGCTGAGCCGGGGTCGCAGTGAGGGGAGACTGCCCGGGACACCCACAGTGAACGCAGACAGGATGGGCTGTGCTGCCCTAACTGCAGACCCCAGGCCTTGCTCGCCATCCCTCGGCCTCCTCCTGCGTCTCTGGGAAGGTTTCTATCTTCGGGGGTTACAGGGTGGGTGGGGCATGGCAGAGAATGAGAGGCAGGAGGAAGTGAACCAACTACTGAGGACTTAATGAGGCACACAGTACCCAGCCCTTGCAAGACCCCAGGGTCCCCATTTCGTAGCTGGTGCCCACAGAGGGGCAGCAATTTGCCCAAGTTTGCACAGCGCCTAGAGGGCAGAGCTGGAGTTCGAGTCCCCGTCTTCTTACTCCTGGTCCAAGATTCACCTGGCCACGAGTAGGGGGACTTCATCTATGAAAGCTCCAAACACTTTGCACACATGTTGTTATTTAAGTCTTACCATAGCCTTTTGAAGGAATACTCATCATTTCTTTATAACAGATGAGAACCACGAGGCCCGGAGAGGTTGGGTAACTTACCTAGGTCACACAGCTGGTACTCAAAGCTTGTGCTCTTCCCTGGACAAGCCCAGGAGGCAGAACAGCTGGGTCATTGACTTACAGCTGTTAATAGTTTTGTCCAGGCATTAGACTAGGGACACCCTGAGGAAAGGATCTATGTCATGTTCATTACCAAAGGAGTCTGAGGAGAATTGGTGCTTAGTAAATATTTCTTCCACAAGTAGATGAAGTTCATTTATTCATTCAAGTACAGGAGCAGGGGGAAAGGCACTCTTGGCCTCAGGAAAAGCTCGGGCAAAGGTATGGTGGTAAGACAGTTCCTGTTGGAGAAGTCAGGAGACTGGTGTGGACAGGTTTTAGGTTGAGGACAGGAGGCTGGGGAAGGCTGGGGGGCCAGGCTTCGAGGAGCCCTGAATGTCAGGTAGCAGCCCTTGGCCTTGACTGGGTGGGCGTAGTGGGGCTGCCAGCAGGTGGGAAGAGACCACCAAGGCAGTAATTTTAGTAGCTCCCATTGTTGAGCCCTGACCACAGCACTCAGCCCTGGGCAGAACATGTGATGCACATGTTCGGACACCCATTGTCTGATTTAATCCCTCAGATAATGCTGGGAGGGTGGTGGGAGAGGAGGGGTTAAGTGACCTGCTCAAGGTCACAAGGGGAATGATGGAGCCCGGAGTCTACCCAGGCCCGTGCTATTCCCTGAGCACCTGGCTGCCTCCCTCAGGACTCAGACCAGGGGTTCTGGGTCCCAGCCTCACCAGGTGTCAGCCCCAGCCCTGGGTGAGGACCACTGAGGCCGCAGCAGTGGGGCACTCAGCCCTTATGGCTGCAGATTGGCTTTTTCTTGCCCCCTGTCCCTGCAGGATCTCTGCTGGGTTGCTGAGGGCCAGCTGGCTCTGGTTCCAGACACCCCCTGCTGTGTGTGGGCAGTGCTGGGCGCAGGTCGATGTGGAGTCCTTTAGGGCTGTGAAGTCCCTCTAGCTGCACTTGGGAGGAGTGCTGCCTGGTGCAGCCTGCTCCTCAGAGAAGGCCTGGGAGAGCAGCGGTTCCAGGATGGACCTGGCCCTAGAGTCTTAGAATCCCAGTACCCAGAGCCAGGATCTGGGGGGCTCTTAGGTGCTATAACATCACCAAGGGTCATAGAGACCCCTTTGGCTGACATTCCTCAAGCGAAAGGCTTTGTGCTCAGTGTGCTCAACAGACTCTCTGAGTTAAACAAAACCAAGCCTGTTACTTTGCTGCAGGACTTCTCAGGACCTTTAAAATGTTAATGTACATGAAGACTCTCCAAGGGGGGACATGATACATTGCATCCCCCAAATGCATCCCTTTTTTCAGAGTATCTCGCTGGAACTCATTCTGGAAAATACAGTTTACAGATGTACACACTGAGACCCAGAGAGGAGCAGTGATTTATCTAAGGTCACATAGCAAGTTAATGGCCAAATCTGGATTAGATGCTAAATTTTCCAAGTTCCAGGTCATCACAAAACTGAGTGGCTCTTTAAGCCTTTATTAACAATCCCTCGCATGGATACGGGACCTTACAACATAATAAATGGGTTTAGTAATTAGATGAAACAATGATGGAAAACTCCTAACTCATGTTGCGTATATGGTAAAGACACAATTAATAGTGTGCATAATTATTGTGATTACAGTAATCTAGCAGTTAGCATGGTTCCTGGCACATCGCTGCACAGTGTTGAATGAATGTTGAGTAAAGACTAATAATTCACAGCTGTGTGAGAACTAAACAGAGCAATGGATGTGTGTGTGCTTTGTGAACTGGAAAACTGGTTTTTGTTAGTTTAATCATAATAAAGCTTAGGTAAGATGGGGAATGTGATCCTACGTTATGAAAGGGGCCTGAGGCCCAGAGAGGGACAGTGATGTGCCCAAGCTCACACAGGGACGGGAGGGAGATAAACTACTCTGCCATGCGGCACTTTGGCTCCTGGTTTCCTGGCTTCTTCCAGAGAACATTGAGGGGCAGGCTGGGGCCAGTAGCGCAGGTGGAGGCGGCGCGGCCTCTCACAGCCCTGTCTTTGCTTCCACCCCTTGTTGCCGTTCGGCGGTGTGCAGGGCACTGTACAAGACTCCGGCGGCCCTGGCGCTGAACCAGACGCAACACTGCAAGCAGCTGGAGGGCCTGGTGTCCGCACAGGTGCAGCTGTGCCGCAGCAACCTGGAGCTCATGCACACCATCGTGCACGCCGCCCGCGAGGTGACCAAGGCCTGCCGCAGGGCCTTCGCCGACATGCGCTGGAACTGCTCCTCCATCGAGCTCGCCCCCAACTACCTGCTTGACCTGGAGAGAGGTAGGGAGCTGGCGGGGCTGCTGGGAGGTGCTGGGGGCTGCCGAATGCACGCGGGTGAGGGTGGGTGAACTCAGGCATACGTCTGCGTGTGTTTAGATAGGTGAACGAATTCGTGGACGGGTGGATTATGGATTCACGGGTGGACGAATGAATAGACGGATGCTGGGTGGATACACAGATGCACAGAGGGAGGGATGGACGGGCGCATGGTGGATGAATTAATCATAGGTATGGGTATTCAGGCTCGCATGAACGAATGAGTAAACATGTAGGTGAGTGACTGTGTCAGCACCAGGGAGTCCAAATGACATTGCAAACACACGTGCTCCCTAATGCATGAGCGAAGGAACAACCAACCCCTGCTGTATGTGAGGCCACGTGTCAGGGAGGCTCTTGGGAAGGGAGTATATGAAGGAGAACGCCAGAGCCCACCCGTAGGGGCAGACAGGTGTGCCACAGGTAATACCAGCCCAGGCTGCTGAAATTGCTGCATGCTGCACAAAGTGCGGTAGAAATAGCAAAACATCTCCTGTGGAAAGACTTCCTGGAGGAGGTGGCTTATGGGGTGGGTTTGGGGGGACCTGTTTGCAACAGAGATGATTTTGCCTCGTGGAAACACCCTAATGGGTCTCATCTCTCCCCTGCATGGTAGTAATTTCTCTCATGGGTCCTAAACATAACGGCTAATGTTTGTGCAGCACTTGACACCCCTTTCCTTCCTTCCTGAATTACTTGAACTCCAGAGCCAGCCTGTGAGGTAGGTATTGTCACCCATGCTCTACACGTAAGGAAACTGAGGCTGGAGACGGGAAAGTGACTTGCTGGTTGAGAGATGGAGCCAGGGCTCAGACCCAAGGCCGGGACCCCCCACAGCCGGGGCACGTGGGTTCCGTATTAGTTTCCTAGGGCTGTTGTCACTGTGTGCCACAAACTGGCTGGCTTCAAACAACAGAAATGTATTGTCTTCAGTTCTGGAGGCTGAAAGTCCAAAATCCAGGTGTGGGCAGGGCCAGGCTCCCTCCAAAGGTGCTAGGGAAGGAGCCTTCTCGCCTGTGCCCAGCTCCTGGTGGCTGCGGCAATCCTTGGTGTTCCTTGGCTTGCAGCTGCGTCACTCAGTCTCTGCCTCCGTGGACACACGGCATTCTCCCCCTCTGTATGTCTGTGTATCCAGAATTCCCTCTTACAAGGACACCAGCCACTGGCTTAGGGCCCACCCCGACCCAGTGTGACCTCTTCTCAGCTCCACTACATCTGCAAAGACCCTATTTCTAAATACGGTCATGCTCGCAGGTACAGGGTCAGAACTTGAGCGGATCTTTTTGCGGGACACAGCGGATTCCTTGGACACTCATCTGGCCTGTGAGGAGCTCAGGGCCTGGGCCTTTGTTCCTGTAGAACAGCCCCAACCCCGAATGCAGGGAGAGCAGGGTCAAAGCCTCGTGGGAGAGGGTGTGCCTGTGGGTGTGCGGGTCTCAAGTGAGTGTGGCACCCAGCTGGTGTATTTGGGGGGAACTGAGGGAGAAGGGGTGACAGCCTGACGGCCCTAGTGCTGTCCCCTGCCAGTACCACCCTGGTTACAGAGGGTGGGAGTGAAGGAGGAGGGCCTCAGACCTGGCAGGGTCCTGTCCTTGGATGCCTGCCTGGCTGACCCACCCCTCCCGCCCCCAGGGACCCGGGAGTCGGCCTTCGTGTATGCGCTGTCGGCCGCTGCCATCAGCCACGCCATCGCCCGGGCTTGCACCTCCGGCGACCTGCCCGGCTGCTCCTGCGGCCCCGTCCCAGGTGAGCCACCCGGGCCCGGGAACCGCTGGGGAGGATGTGCGGACAACCTCAGCTACGGGCTCCTCATGGGGGCCAAGTTTTCCGATGCTCCTATGAAGGTGAAAAAAACAGGATCCCAAGCCAATAAACTGATGCGTCTACACAACAGTGAAGTGGGGAGACAGGTAACCACCCACCCCACCCACCCCCCAGATAGTCGTGCTTGTGCCGTTGGCCAGAAAAGGGCCACCCAATGTGCCCCAGTGGAGGGGGGTGTGGGGATGGGCCCTGATCGGTCCACACCTGATGGCTTCCACCTTCCTCAGCTCTTCCCTCTCCAGCTGCTTGGGGCTCTCTGGGCTCCTCCTCCTCCAGGGAGTCCACTGGGATTTGGGTTGTCCAAGTGGAAGGAGCCTGAACTAGCAGTCAGGAGCTCTGAGTGCTGGCCTTGGCTCTGGCTTAGTGACGCTGGGCAAGTCACTTCCTCTCTGGCCTCAATTGTTCCCATCTGTGAAATGGGGGAGGTGATCTGGTGCTAAGTCCCTGTCTGCCATGTTCTTCTGGCTGTGCTCCCGGCGTGTGGAGAGGGCTGTGGGCAACAGAGCCTCATGCTAAGGAGCCATCTCCTTGGATTAACAGGGACTCCCACCCAAACCCGCCCCAACCTCCAGAACACAGTTTCCCTCCAACATTTATTATCATCAGTTTCTTATTAATTCCTCACCTCATTGCACAGGCTGGGTGAGTGAATGCTAAGTGAACGAACAGACCTTTTTTTCCTTTGAAAATTAAAAAAACCACAACACTTTATACCAATCCATGTTGCACTGTGCTCGGTCCTCGACCCATTTTCTCTCCTGTGGTCCAGGGAACAGCTCTGGGGCAGGTGCTATTGTCCCGAGTCCACAGATGGGGGAAGGGCCCACGAGGGGCAGGGCTGGCTGCTCGGCCAGAGCCGTGTGTACAGACGGCGTGTCACCAACCCCTGCCCGCACCTGTTAGCCACGTTTTACAGAGGCACCAGGGGAGGCCAGAAGACCGCAAGTGGCTCGGCCACAGGGCATGACAGAGCCCAGGTCCGTGGGAGTCCAAGTCCAGAGGCTTCCATGTCCTCACCTTCTCTCGCTGGTCTCCCTCACGTGAGGACTCTAGGATGTCCAGGACATCCTTGGACAGTTAGGGAAACTGAGGCCGAATCACACTGTGGGTTTGTAGGAGAGCCTGGCCAGGGCCTCAGGACTTCTGTCTCTCAGCCTGCCACCTGCCCTTGTTCGCGGAAACCCCGCCCCAGGCCCACCACCAGGGCGGGACCGGCGGAGGTCGCCGGAGGTCGCCACCCCCCCCTCAGGGCAGTCCAAAGCGGGTCCTCAGCTGCAGTGCACGTCAGGCGGGTCCCTGGGGCCGTGTACAAAAGGGGCGCAATATCCCCCAAGCTGCAGGGCTGTGTCGGGATTAAATGAGGTCACGGCCACATGTTTTGGACCCAGTGGGCCTCAGGAAGCCCTGGGCCCCTTTCCTCACCTACGCTGAGGGACCGAACCTGGTTTTCCTTTCCCTGAGGACCCCAAGTGCCTCGATGCCCTGTGGTCCTGTTCACTTCACTCTGGGCCCTCCACAGGCTTCACTCAGCAAATTCCAGGCTTTATACCCAAACGGACTCCCTCGGTCCCCACTTCCTGCCACTGGTGAGGGGGAAGGAGCCCTGGGACCTTGAGCAGCTACTCTCTAAGTGATCTGGGGCAAGTCCTTGCCAACTGTGCCTCAGTTTCCCCATGTCTCTGATGTGGGGGCGGGGGCAGGGCCCAGGTGAACCATGACCCTTGCAGCTCTCTGTATAGGACAGGTGGGAGGGCAGGCCTGGGCAGGGGGATCCTGAGTGGAAAGGAGTGTTTTAAAAGGCAGAACTGTAAGGCCCTTAGAAGGCATCTAACTCCTGCTCCTCAGGTTCAGATGGGGAAACTGAGGCCCAGGGAAGCCGGTGGGCCTGAGTCCTTTCCGAAGCTGGGGCTAGAGTCTACCCATACCCCCGAGCCCAAACCTCCCCACTGTCCACCTTAGTTATTACTTAAACCAATTTTTTAAAACCCAAATTGATTTAGCTTTCGTAGTTCACAAAACTCCTTCATGCATGTCATCTCATTTAATCCTCACAGCACTCTGCAAGGCAGGAGCTGTGCGCCCGCTTTGCTCAAAAGAACACAGAGGCCCTGAGTGGTGTCACGGCCTGCTGAGGGTCGCCTGGCAGGAGCACTGGCAGTGGAGCGGTGGCGGAGGCATGCATTCCCCCTGCCTCTTCCTCCCTCCCCATTCCTGCCCCACTCCCTTCCTTCCTTCTCTTCTTTCCCTCCCTTTTGTCCAGCAAGCATTAGTGAGCAGCAGTTTTGTGTGAAAGAAAAGCATGGAACAGCTAAAAGCCACCACTTTTGGAATCCCCCTCAGACCTGGGTTCAAATCCAGCTCCACGATTTTCTAGCTGTGCCATCTGGGGCATGAGACTTAGCCTCTCTGAGCCTTTGTTTCCTCTTTGTAAAATGGGGAGGATAAGGATACCTTCCTTGAAGGGCTGTTGTGATGATTAACGCACATTATGTGTTAGAGCACTTGGCATATAGTAGGTGCTCAGTAATGGCATCTCTTATCCCTAGAAATGTCTCTCTTCCTGCCCCTCAGCTGCCCCCTAGGTTGGAGGAAGGCCCACAACACCTCCAAGCTTTGGAGCAAAAAGCTCCATCACTTGAGGCTTAGGTAGGCGATGACTCCCCGAGAGTGCCCAGCTATGCAGTGGGTAGGGCCAGGGTGCCTGGGCAGGCCAGGGAGGGGGCTCCAGCCGCCCAGCCCGACGCCCTCCCCTGTCCGCAGGCTCTGCGCGCCTCTCTGGAAATGAAGTGCAAGTGCCATGGGGTGTCTGGCTCCTGCTCCATCCGCACCTGCTGGAAGGGGCTGCAGGAGCTACGGGACATAGCTGCTGACCTCAAGACCCGCTACCTATCGGCCACCAAGGTAGTGCACCGACCCATGGGCACCCGCAAGCACCTGGTGCCTAAGGATCTGGATATCCGGCCTGTAAAGGACTCGGAACTTGTCTACCTACAGAGTTCACCTGACTTCTGCATGAAGAATGAGAAGGTGGGCTCCCACGGGACGCAAGACAGGTAAGGGCCTGCTGCTACCCTGGAAGGAGAGGGCCAGCTATGTTGGACAGGCTGCTCCCCAGCTCAGGGTCAGGCACACAGTCGGGACCCAGTTGGCATTAGGGGAATGGAGTCCCTGCCCAGTAGAGGGAGGTGGCCCCAGGAATGCTGAGTGCAGATGCCAGGGTGCAAGGGCCCCCACAGAGCTTCTGGGAGTGCCTGTTCTGCACCTCTCCCTGGCAGGGGACCCTGGGGAATGGAGGCTGGTAGGAGCCCCCACCCCACCCTGCCCCAGTGGGAGAGACAGATGAGAAGAGACAACGACTCTACTGAGAGACGGGGGCTAGGGAAGACGTTGCCCAGCATGAACTAGGTGCTCAGTAAATGTCAAATGAATAGATGAAGGATGAATGTCATACAGCCTGCTCACTGGACGAGAGAGGACCTGAGGGCCCAGCACGGTGGCTCACACCTGTAATCCTAGCACTCTGGGAGGCTGAGGCAGGAGGATCACTTGAGCCCAGGAGTTGGAGGTTGCAGTGAGCTATGATGACGCCACTCTACTGTAGCCGAGGCAACAGAGCCAGACTGTCTCAAAAAATAAAAAAAAGAAAGAGGACCTGAATGGCACAGGGGAGGCAGGGGCAGCAGCCAGCCCAGAACCGCACGAGGTCCACACAGAGCTGAAGGAGGGTGTGGTCTGCCTGCATTCAGTAGAGTAAGCGTGCTCGTGTGTGCCCCGACCCGCTCCAGCCCTCCTCCCAGGCCCCAGCTCCTCCTATCTCCTCCTGGGGACCCCCTGGTCCCATATTCAGAGCCAGGGCTGGGGTCCCTACAGCTCGCCCAGTCGCGGCTGCTGCAGCCGGCTCAGGACAGGAGAAGCGGAGCCGTGGAGACCGCAGACCCGTGAGCCAGGTGGGGCTGGTGGGGGTTCAGGCAAGCAGCGTTTCCCAAAGACCGTTCTGGAGAAGGCTGGCCCTGACATACTATAATAGAAAGTTCTGCAATCAAATATGTTGGGAAATTCTCTTTGGTAATTCACGAGGCACGAGAACATATTAAAGGCTGCGAGGAATCTCATGATAAAGGATCTGTTTAAGCCAGTGTTTCCCAGAGGTGTTTGGCCGTGGAACTCTTTTATTAGGGAGCCCCTAATAGCATTCCACAAAGCTAGTGTTCTCGGGGTTAAAAGAATATTGAACCAGAGAGCGGGTGTCTGGGAACGTGTCTGGCACATAGTTGGTGCCCAGCCAGCATTTACTTCCTCCGCAGCCCACGTTCCCGTCTCCAGCAGAGGGAGGGGTGGTTTGGGGGGCTCCGTCCCCACAGGCCAGGGCAGCAGGCTCTGCGAGGAGGCCCAGGCTCCCATCTGGAGGCCAGATTGAGGGGGTCGGCGGAATGAAGATGGAACCGGGTCAGGCCAGGGAGACAGGAAGGAGTGAGAGGCTGGGCCGAGGCAGATGGGGATGGGGGAGGGAGAGGAGGATTCGAGAACACAGAGGGCTGGGGGAAGCCCACGGAGGACCTCGGGGCAAAGAGAGGGTCTCCCCGACCCATGAGCGGCTGTGTGTGTGTGTGTCGGGGAAGGGCACAGCTCCCTGGCTGGGTGAACCTGAGCATGTCCCTCACTGATCTGAGGCTCAGTCTTGCCTTCTGTGCAATGGGGAGGACACCAGGCAGCTCACGGGGTTGGCCAGTGATCTCCAATTACACTTATCCAGCATCTCTCTGTGCCAGGCCGGCTCCCCTCCTCCCTCAGGCTGCCAGGCCTCTCTCCCAGCCGCCCCCACATTACTGGAGAGGAGCCCCCACCCCCAGCACCGCCCACCCTCCTGGCATCCTTAGCATGCTGTTCCCCTGGGTGGGGCCTTGCACGCATCTGTATCGGTCAGCTTTTGCTGCAGTAACAAACAACCCCAATTTCTTAGTAGTTTACAACCACAAACACTTCTTGTACCCATTACATGAGGCTGCAGGTCAGCTGTAGCTCTGCCTGGCTCTGGCAGGCGCTGGCAGGCGGGGGGACCTCAAGTGCTCAGATTGTGACAGAGGGAAGCCCATTGCAAGAGGAGCCCAGAGGGGTCCTGACCCAGCCTGGACATCAAAGAAAGCTTCCTGGAGGAGAGGGAATGTGAGATGTATTGGGTTAGGGGATATGGAGTGCAGAGGGTTGGATATCATGTGCACAGGTGGTATCTCTGTAGAGGCTGGCACCCTAGCTGGGGCAGACACCTTGCAGCCCTCCTCAAATCTAACCTGGGGAAACTGAGGCCTAGCCAGCAGCCGATATTCCAAACCTCAGCCCTTTTGTCATGTTTTTTCCAGAGGCCTGCACCCCTGAAACTCACACCCCATGACCTGTGCCACCCTGTGCCCTGGGAGCCAGGCATCCCAGAGGCCCTTTCCTGGGCCCGCGGCCCTGCCCTCTCTAACTCCCCGTCCTGGGCACCCTCTCAGGCCTGGTCTGGTTCTGATGTTGGAGGCCAGGTTTTCAGACACTGCGTGTCAGGGATCTAGAAATAAAAAAGGAACTCTGTCCCCTTCTTACAACTGAGGGCCGAGTGGTCAACTATAGACCTTTAGGATAAGGCAGAGGGGGACTCATGGATGTTGAGTGGCTAAACAAACTTTTATTTAGTCACACGGACTATAAGTGGCTAAGCTGGGGCTTGAACCCAGCTCTGCCTGGCTCTGGGGCATGTATTCTTCCCACTGTTCTCCTGCCTCCCACAGGAACTGCTTGCAGCCCACATGTAGGTCGCTGACTCTCTCCAGGAGCTCCCCTCCTTCCCACCCCTGCCCGGTCCCTGTTGAGGCCTGGACCTCTCCCCAGCTGCTGCCCAGCCTCTGCCCAGCCTCCCTGCCTCCAGCCCTCCCCTGCCAGCTGCTCTCTCACTACCCAGACTGGGGCTTTGGCCTTTGCCTGGATGCTCCCTCAATACCCTCTTCTGTCCTCTGCATGTTAGTCCTGCTCATCTTCCATCAAAATCCTGCTTATCTGCCATCAAAATCCTGGGTGACCTCCTCTTCCAGGGAGCCTTCCTGAGCTCTCACAGACCCGGTGCTCACCCTGGGAAAGACCCTCTCCATCTGTGCCTTAGTTTCCCCATCAGTAGATCTAAGGATTAGATTCAGTCATCTCTAGGGCTTGCCCGTCTTAGACATTCTGGGATTCCTTTGTCCACACAGCTATGGGGACCCTTTTGTTCCTGCCCAGTGTTCCAAACCCTGCTGCTCTGTCCCCAGCTGCATCCCATAAAAACACCCCCTTTCTAGCCTCAGCTCAGCTAGAGGAACGACCAATCTGAACAGAGGTGTTTTCATTAGACAGAAGAACTGATAGCCACAGAGGGATATTTGCATTTCACAGGGACTGTCAGTGTCCTCTTATCCCACAGGCGTGATTCAGGAAGAAATGTGGCCCCTGCCAGCCCTGGGTCCCATGCCTTCAGGGTAGGGAGAGTAGCAACAGCCTTGGCTTCAGCAGCCCTGAGTTTAAGCCTCTGTCCTTTGTTTAGCCTGTGGTCACCGGTGTAAGGGGCATAATAATTCCACTCCCTCCCCAAGGACTCTGCCTGCCTCTAGTAAGATAAAATACCCGAGGGACGCGCCTGCCCTGTGGGAGGCCCGTGGCTGCCAGCCTCTCGCCCTCCACGGACAGTGTGCCAGGTGCTCACGAGGCCTCGCAACCAATGCCATTCTGAGTGTTTCAGAATGTGTCCTGGGATTCTAAAAGTGAAAACGATCTTCACATCTGTCTCAATATAAGTAAAGATTAAATATGAAGGTAAGATTATTAGACAGATTGGATTTTGAAGGTCCTTTGAGTATTTAGAAGTAGGAGAAACAGAAAAAAGATACCTTCAAGAAAACAAAGCAACCCCGTCGTTTCGGTAACTGCTTATTACAAATAGGGGAAAAGGTAGAAGTGCTCTTAGGTAAGAGAATTAGTTAAAATTCCCCAAAGATTGAGACACCTTCCAAGAGAGACTGAGTCAGTGGCCGCAGGAGAGGCTGGGAGTCCCAGGGTGTGTATGGGGGGGTGACAGGAACACTCACTGACCTCCTCCCCCCTCCACCAGGCAGTGCAACAAGACATCCAACGGCAGCGACAGCTGCGACCTCATGTGCTGTGGGCGCGGCTACAACCCCTACACAGACCGTGTGGTCGAGCGGTGCCACTGCAAGTACCACTGGTGCTGCTATGTCACCTGCCGCAGGTGTGAGCGCACCGTGGAGCGCTACGTGTGCAAGTGAGGCCGCGCGCTCCGCCCCACGCAGGGCGCAGACTCTGCCCGAGGACCCTCAGCGGCCAGGGCCGGGGGCCTGGAGACTCTCCGTGGAGTTTCGCTTGTGAATTCCAGATGCCTGGCGTGGGAGGTGGCCCGTGCTTTGCCTGCACTTGTAAGCCACCAGGAACGGAAGGCCTGGCCACCCTGGAAGGAGAGCCGGGACATCAAAGGAAACCGACAAGATTAAAAATAACCTGGCAGCCCGAGGCCCCGGCGTGCCCACAGGCTGGTCTAAGAATCCAGGGGCATGGGCTTGCTGAAGCTGGTGTGGACTTGACCTTTCAGGGCCAGAGAGCCCAGCCTCCGGGAGGGGTCTGCCCGCTCTCTTCAGAACGTCTGCGGGACCCCCAGCCCACCCCAGGGTCTGAACCTGCTGGGCCCACCACATGGAACCACTAGCTTGGGTTGTAAATGTGTTTTTGTTTTTTGTTTTTTTCTTCCTTTGGGATGTGGGAGCTACAGAAATATTTATAAAACATAGCTTTGTCTTTGGGGCGGCTCTCCTCAATTCCTCTTTATATATTTTATATATATAAATATATATATAATGATCTATATTTTAAAACAAGCTTTTTAAACAGCCATATGAAATAAACGCTGAGCGAAGCCCAGCCCGCCCCTGCAGTTTCTGGCCTCCTCAAGTGAACTCAGCGGCTTGCGGCGCTGGTGGGGGGGGGCGGGGGACTCTCCAGTTTCCAGGCAAGGCGGCTTCTGATTGATGTCCCTGCTCCCCCCGCACACGCCCACACCCGGCCCTGGCCCGGGTCTCCCTGTAAGATCTCCTGGTCAAGGGCGAGGACAGACGTCTTGAAACATAAACCCAGCTGGCAGCCTCTTCGCTCCTCAGGGACACACATGCAGGCGCTGCACAGCATGGCCCTGTCGTCAGGTCTGCCAGTGTGCTTCGGGAGCCAGGGGTGCAGGCCTCAGGGAGGTGGCAGACCCTGGCTCCAGCTAGCCCTGGTGGGTTTTCTGTGCGGCCCTGGGGAGGGCCCCCAGCCTCAGTTTCCCCGTTTGTAGAATGGGGGTGGTGGCGATGAAGGCTGGAGTTGGGAAGGGGCCCAGTCTTGCGCCTGGACCAGGCTGGCGGCGGTGGACGTGGTGAGAAGTGCTTGGATTCCAGTTCTGTTTTGAAGGTGGGGCCAACAGGATTTGTTCTCTCTCCGCATGTGGGGCGTGAGGGGAAGGAGGCCCAAGAATGAATGCCGGGGTTGGCTGGAACACTTGGAAGGACGGAGGGGCCGAATGCCGAGATGGGGGTGGAAAGAGGATGGGGTTCAGATGTGGACACTCAGGGACTGTGACATTGTTTAGGCCCCAAGTGGAAATACTGAGCAGATGGGCAGATGCTCGAGGCTGGCACGCCGGGGGAAGCCAGGGGTGGGGGTGCACGCTTGGGCGCCACCACTAAGGGAGTGGGCGGGATAGAGGAGACAGGACTGAGGCTGGGCCTGGGGCACTTGCACCTTGGATGTCGGGGAGGTGAGGAGGAAAAGCAGCAAAGGAGACAGAAATAACAGCAGGGAGGCGGGAGGGGCCCCAGACGGGGTCCGGCGATTGCCAAGTAGAGACAGGGTCCAAGAAGAGCAGGATCACTGCAGGCATGTCACTGTCCTCTCTCAGTTTTGGTGTCACTCCCTGCGTGTGGGTGGCATCAGTAGGCAAGGGGTGAGCAAGTGGAGTCTCCTCGGCCTGGCCCACAGTAGGTGCCCCAAATGGAAGCAGTTATTCCTCACCTGTGTCTAACAGGACAAAGGCTCTAAGAGAACGTTACAAACATGGGAAGGCACACAGACGCTGAGGGCAGGGCCACCTGGAGGGGGCCTGGAGCCCAGGCATACCAGGGGTGGGATGGCAGGGACGACCCTCAGGGGCTGGGCCAGTCGCGGGGTGGTGGGAAGAAGGAAGGCTTTCGTGGTCATCCTCCAAGCCCTGCCGGGGAGTTTGTAGTGGGAGTGGCCAGAGTCACAGAATCACGGCTGTAAGGGACTCCAGATAAGTCTCCTGGTCTGTTTTGCAGCTGAGGAAATTCAGAGATGGGAGGGGCCCTTCCTGTGGTCACAGAGCTGATAGGGTTGGGGGCCGTGGGGGGATGGAGCCTCCCTGGGCGGCCCCTGCAGAGTGTGCTGTCTCCCGGGCCCAGGGCTTCCCTGCTCCACAGCCTCCGTCAGCCCCCATGGCCCACAGAACCAGTCCCTGGGTCCCTGGCCTGGCACACAAGGCCCCAGGTGAATCTTCCAGGCGCACGTTTCCTGCACCTCCCCAGGTGTTCGCTCACCCACACTGAAACTCAGCCACTCAGCCCACCTTGCCTCTGGGCATCTGCTCTTCTCTCCAGGCCTGGGATGCTATTTTCCCTGCCGGAATCTCACACCCAGCCCTCTCCACGAAGCCTGCCCCCGTGCCCTTCTCAGCTGCCCACAGCCTTTTGAACATTTAAAGCAGCCATTGTGCTCATCCTCAAGCCAATGGCCTCTCCTCCTTCAAGGCTCAGATGAATGGCCCCCTTCTCCAGGAAGCCCTCCATGCCTACCCTCAGGTCTCCTCTGCGTCCCCACAGCCTCTGTGCACCCTTCCAGTGTTGCACTGAACCAAGGTGTTATAGGGGTCTGTGTTGTGTCTGTTTCCCCCACCTTTCTGGGGCCTCTTCATGGGTTGGGGTCAGCCCAACCCACCCATGGGGCGCCAGGGTGTCCTTTGGGCCTTAATCAGGACAAGCAAATGGGGAAACTGGACCAAGGACCCAGAATGACTGTCAGAAAGGGTGGTCATAATAATATAAATGCTACCATTTATTATGCACCTGCTGTGTACCATTCCAAATACATTGTCCCAAGTAATCTTGACAGCAGCCCCCAAGGTGAGTATTGTTGTCACCTCTGATCGAGGAGGAAATGGAGGCTCTGAGAGGAGAGGGATCCTGGGGAAAGTTCACAGCAGACTGGGGCACGGAGCCCGGGCCTGTCCCTTCTCCCACATCCTCATTCCAGCCAGGCACAGGGAGGGCAGCATGGAAGACAGAATACCATTTCCTGGGCTAAGTGGGGGGCCTGGGCCAGGAGGGGTTCAGGATGGGAGACCCGGCTGTGCCCCTGGCTCAGTGGGCCTTGTGTAACTGCCACTGGCCAGTCCCTAGACCTGTGCCGAAGGCCTGCACCTTTCTGTCTGTTCAGGGGCCGGACAACCAAGCGGGCGTAGGGAGCTGGTCCCAGGACTGCTCCTCACCCGTAGGTCAGGTTCTCAGGACACAGCCGGACCGAGCCCCACTTGGTCAGGCCGGGGGTGGGGGGATCCTCCCCCAAGGTGGATCACAGGGTCCCAGAGGCTCCCAGAACCTCGGAGCTTTAGTAGTTCGGGATCTCGTCGTGTTCAGATTTGGAACCCTAAGATATTGGTACCCAGGAACTGTAGAGTAAAAACCCTGAAACCACTGCAGTGGCCTGTGGAGGCCCCTGGGCCAGTGGCCACCCCGAAGAATTAAAGGCCAGGTACTGCCCTGTGGGCGTCCAAATTCTCGTCACCAGCAGGATCCCCACCCAGGCATGAGGGGGCAGCAGTCCCAGACTGGGCCCTGAGAGGCTTGGGAGCCTGGAGAGACGGAAACTCCCCGGTGATGACAGCACCAGCTCCGACCAAGTGTGGGAGGCTGGCTGGGGACGCGGGAGAGTCGGCCCGGGAGAGAGACAAGAAGGCAGCAGAGAGGAAACAGGAACTCCTGAAAAGAGGGAGAGATTAGTTTGGTGGGAAAGGAGGGAACGGGCAGATAAGGCCCGTGGGGAGGCCTGGTCAGACCAAAGGAACAACCAGGGCGCCCAAGCCCAGCCCCAAGCAATGGTCTGCTGTTCCTGAGGCCACGGGGGAACCGCTGCCAGGCTCCACAGACCAGGCCCAACGCAGGACCCCCAGAGAGGCGGGATGGGGCAAGGGGAGCATCTTTCCTACCCTCTCGCTGTGTGACTCCAGGCGGCCAATGGCCCTCTCTGGGCCTCTGCAGCAGCTGTCTCATTCAATTCTCACAACCTTTCTAAGGGTAGGGCCCAGAATCTCTGTTTCATTGACGAGGAAACAGGCTCAGAGAGGGAAGCGACTGGGCCGAGGTTATAGAGTCTTTAGTGTTGAGCTGGGATTCAAACCCCGGACTGCCTGGCTCCAACTGCTGGGGCTGCTCTCAGCATCCTTGAGGGGCATCCCAAGGACAAAGGTGGCCTTTGGCTAAGTGGGGGTTGACTGTGAGTCATCGGAGTGGTGGTGGCTATGAGCACCACACATGAGGGAGAGGGGACAGTTCAGCACTGAGTGGTTCCTGATCTCTGTCACAGGGATGGGGAAGTGGGGGGTGGGGGTGCCCATCAGGCCACAGCTTGGCCAACACTTGCCTGCCCTGCCCTGCCCTGCCCAGGCGAGCTGCTCACGCAGCCTGGGCGCCTGGGCTCCCAGGCCCCACATACGTTGGGGGGATGGGCGGGCGAGTGAAGCACAGGTGTCCCCTGTCAGGCGCCCATGACTCTTCTTTAGCTTTTATAGCAGAGGGACAGGAGGCAGAAGGCAGGCAGAGCCCTGGGGGCTTCAGGGATTTTGCGGGGAAAGCCCATTTCTCTCAAAATGTTGGAAGTAGGGAGTGGAAAATCAGGAAGATTTCGTGGAAGAGGTGCCATTTGCACTGTGTCCAGAAAGCTGAGTAGGATTGCGAGAGACGGAGGGGCGACGGGAGGCATCTGCGTGAGCGCAGCAGCCTGTACTCCGAGGATGCCAAGGAGTGGGTGTGGCCGGGGCGCAGGGGCCCGTGGGCACCAGGGCAGCAAAGGCCCCAGCCAGGCTGCCTCAGGCCCCAGGGGGTGTCTAAGGCCACTACACCAGGACGCTAGCCTTCGGCTGGTCTGTCCACCGCCTGCCGCCAGGCCGGCCGCCCACCCGCGGCGCTGGCTGGCTTCAGGCAGAGCAATTTAACAGCCGCATTTTAACGGGTCCCATTGCTCCCGTAGACAGAATCAATATCCGCTTGGCTCCCCGGGCTCATGGCTGCTGAAGACGTTCTCCCTCTTGGCCCCTTGGTCCCCAATGCCTTACCTGCTGGGCTCCAGTGGGGGGCCACAGGGCTAGGGCAGGGGGCGGGGAGCAGGAGGAGGAGGTGGCAGACCATGGCAACCATCCCAGACACCCCTGTTCGGGCTGGCGAGTGAGGACAGGGGCTTGCGAGAGGCCCAGGCTCCAGTGCTCCTGGGCAAGGGCACAATGTAGTTAAAATCCAAGTGTTTATTTTATGTCTCCACTGTCTTTGCATCCATAAAAGCATGCAGTCCTCGAGGGGGCTGTGGAGTGGGAGGCTGTCTGAGAGCTGCGGGGACAGCAGCCTGTTCATGCCATGACCTTGAAGCTCCTTCACACTCAAGATTCTAAGGATCAAGTTTTCACAGGGTCTGGACCTCCATTCTGAAACATTCGTAGTCCTGGGATTTCAGGGCACCAGGACTCAAGGATACGAAGTCTATCAGGGTGGGGATTCGAAGCATCCCAAACTGTTGCGGTGTCTTTCTCCATCTGAAGTCTCCGTGGTCCTTCCCTCCCCCTACTTCCCTCCCCCGCGAGCTGTCCTCACTTGCAGTCACATCTGACCCAAGCAGGGAGTAGGGGCTGCGGGCAGGAACCCGCTGGATGCAGACTGGGGCTCTGTTTAGCCCTGGCATTTCCCTGGACGTTTCTGG